TGAACTAAGATTGAAAATATATACACCATGTTTTTTGTAATGTAGAAATCTTAAGAATTTTTTCTGTACCTTTTGTACCTGAATAATAAAGAGACCATACTGCACCATATTACAGTATACTACGGACAAATGCATTATAAAGTGTTAGTAATGTGGATATTTTTGTGAATTTGAATGAGTTCCTAATAATAAAGATAGGTTTATATATGCTCTGTTTATAATGTTGGTCATATGTTGCCCAAAAGTCAGTTTTTGATTCAGCGTAACTCCCAAATCCTTACATTCTGTCTTTTGGGCTGAATATTCATTGTTTACCTTACACTGAAAATTATTCCCTATTTTTTTCCTAGAAATTGACATACTAAAGCATTTGTCAACATTGAATACGAGGCGATTTGACAGGGACCACTCGTAAACTATACGTCACTTTGTAGCAAAATCACATCTTCTTGATTTTTGATTTCCTTGAATAACTTAAAATCATCTGCGAATAGTGCACATTGCGAGTCCTGAATTACCTCCGGCAGATCATTTATTAGTAATAAAAAGAAAAGAGTTTCTTGATTGGACCCTTGGGGTACACCGGATCTTATGGAGAAATCCTCTGATTCCCATCCCTTATATATAAACTACATACTGTTTCCTGTCTATAAGATACGAATCTGACAACTCCAAGAGTCAATCTGAAAGCTCAAAAGTGTATAGTTTTTTCAACATAACCTCATGGTCTACCTTGTCGAAGGATTTACTAAAATCTGTGAAAATAATATCTAGTTGACTATTATTTTCGACAACTTGATTTGTCTCTTGTATAAAACATTTAAGATAGTTATCGTAACCTTTTAGGTAAGAACCCATGTTGTTTTTCATTTAGATATGGGTGCACTTGTTGCACAAGTCAGTGGTACTGGCCGATAGTTTTGTATATTCTTACCGCCGATAGTTTTGTACATTCTCCCAAATGCTTGACCATCCGCCTTTCTCACCAGATCTAACCTCAAGCGACTTATTTTCGTTCCCTCATCTAGAAAATACGCTAGAAGGCACCGGCATCTCCACCTACCATGACGCCATCTATGAGATCACAAGAAGACGAGACTATTCAAGGCGATCCGTTGCAAAGCTAAGCTTCGACATCGACTACAAGAATGAGATTCGTTTTCTGTATTTGATTGCAGCACCCACTGCAAGGCAAATTGATGAAAATGGGTCTCAAAGACAAAGCATTAGTAATCTATAACCAGGCAGTAGTTGACAGACAGACAGAAATTGAAACGGGTATATTTTGAGGAAGCAAATAACAACTTCTATGCATGATCTACACATCTTTATCGATAGTTCATTATGAAATGGATTGAACAAATCTTTGAAATGTCTCGCGGTATTTATGGAATTGGCAAAGGCTTTCGATACGATGTCGCGTGAAACTTTACTCGATAAATTGTGTAATAATGGTATCAGAGGTCATGCTTTGGAACTGTGTAGGATTATTCGAAAGAACAAACACAGACTTTTGAAATCGGTAGTACGTTCAGTGCAACATTACAAATCAATGTGGGTATACCTCAGGGAACAGTACTTGGCCCGATTTTCATCTTTGGATGAATATAAAATTAGAAACTAACGCGAAGCTAACGCTAATATATATATCCCATACAGGTAAACGATCCAGGTATACCACCCATGCAGGTATAGGTACCAACCAAAATTAATTTTACAATTTTTACTTATCTATTATTTTACAATATATGTTTAACTGTTATATCTGTATATAAAACAATTTTCAGCTATATAAAAATTAATTTCACAATATTGCTTATCTAAATTTATTTTTGCAATGTGTCCTTATGTAGTAATCAGTAAACCCAACAATATTATTTTAACAAGCTATATATATTTTCAAGGAACTAGGTATGAAGGTGGTTTTTTAAACAAGTCATACACTACAGAGCCTTTTGGGAAGTCCAAAAGACAAAGTCGAGAATTCGGAAAAGTCTGGAATTTACGAAATTGAATGAAAGGACTGCGATGCAAAATATTATGGACAGACAAACATATCTATTGAAGTAAGATATAAGGAACACATAGCACACTTAAAATATGGAAGACCTGAAAAATCAGCAGTCGCCCATCATATTTTGCAACAAAACCATTCCATAGACTTCAGTTCATTAAAATTAGTTAGACAAGTTAACAACAGGCAACTAGATGCCTATGAGAGTGTGGAAATAAGTAAACACAATAATATTATGAATAACTATGACGGACCTTTACCAAAGAACATACATACTATATAGCTTGTTAAAATAATATTGTTGGGTTTACTGATTACTACATAAGGACACATTGCAAAAATAAATTTAGATAGGCAATATTGTGAAATTAATTTTTATATAGCTGACAATTGTTTTATATACAACTATAACAGTTAAACATATATTGTAAAATAATAGATAAGGCAAAAATTGTACAATTAATTTAGGTTGGTATACCTGTATGGGTGGTACACCTGGGTGGTTCACCTGTATGGGATATCTATATAGCATAAATAGCGTTAGCTTCGCGTTGGTTTCTAGTTTAATCTTCCTCTTTGAAGATGATCACTTGATGATCGAAACACGTGTCGAGGTGTTAAAAAAATAACGATTTGGTGTTGGGGAAAAAAACTCCAGTAATATTTTATAGAGTATGATTATTACCAAGCAGTTTACTTTAGATAGTGTTGGTATTTTTCAACGATTGAGTAGAAGACTGTGCCTTTGTTTATTTGTTAGGTGTGAACTCTGCATTTTGGTAGATAGTTAATTATTTCTCTGTTTTTGTACCGTTTTAAATTTCACACTATCTACCATAAATGCGAATATTATTATCAAAATAACGTCAATGATGTGGTTTTCTGTCATATCAACATTCTATATTCGCCACAGTTTCGAAGTATGAAGTCTAGGATCAAAATTTGTATTATTATTACAGGGGTGATTATTTCTTCACTGAAAGTGATACCAAGTTTGTCTCATGTAAGATATTTTGTTACAAATCTAACGGAAAAGTTCACAAGTATCAACGATTTGTGAAATGAATTTGGGCTTTACAAAAATTATAGAATTACAGTTATTTTTGCTCTGATTGAAAAATTATCAAAATTCAATTTGAAAATCATACCTCTGAAGGTTCTGATGTATTCAAAAAGTAATTTCAGACAAATTCATTCCACACGAGACGTTTCCATTCTACTTTCAACTGATCATTCTAACATCTGAAGTTTTTGTTGACTCCCAATTGAATTAGCTCCCTCAATCAATTGGGAGATCCTACTTTTGTACTGAAATACATACTGACCCATTTTATAATAGAAATATCGTTCATGTAACTTTGAGGTTATTCCGATTTATTCAATTTGATAGATGGCCTAAGCAAATAGAAAAATTAGAGGGCGGGATTACGAATATTAAAGTTTCTAGTGTAGATGATATATGAGTTGTCATTAATAACGAGCGGTGCCTATCAATTTATTTATTTTATTACTCCGATTACGTGCTTTCATGTCTGTTGTAGATTGATGTAATATACAGATATATGATGGAATTGGCCGATACTTGATAATTAAGTGTTTTTTGAATACGTTATATATACAGCGTGACTCACGGTCGATGGTAGGTTAGACGTTTCTGGAAAACGCAAAGCATGATTTTTCTGAAAATTTCACCTCTCACATTTCCTTACCTGTTCTATCGATCTAAAATATTTTCAGCATTGCGGCGTTGCCACTTC